CTGTATGTGACTCTTGAACACGAACACCTAGATCCTGTTGCATCTTAGAATTCTGCAGCCGTTCTCCAATTAAATTATATTTTGCCCTTTTTTTATTCTTCCTGCCAAAGAAAATAACTTCACATTTTCCTACACTATATTCCAACTACCAGAATTTTGCCCAGTCACTCAAACTTTCTATATATGTCTTCTTCGCAACACAACATACCTTTCTTGTGTCCTCTGCAATTTTAGCTATCACGCCTTTGCTTCCCTCATCTAAATCATATAAATCGTAAAAAGCTGAGATGACTTATTACATCTCTTTAGAATGACGAAGGATGAACGATGACTTGATAGAGGTGTACAAAACGATCAGAGGTATAGATAGAGTAGACAGCCAGAGACTTTTTCCGAGGGTGGAGGCAGCTTTTACGAGGGGGCATAGTTTTAAAGTGAAAGGAGGTAGATATCGGGGAGATGTCAGAGGTAGGTTCTTTACTCAGAGAGTGGTAGGGGCGTGGAATGCATTGCCAGAGAGGGTAGTGGAGTCGGCCTCATTAGGGGCATTTAAGCGGCTATTAGATAGGCATATGGATGATAGTATAAGGAAGCGGTGGAGGTTAGATAGACCTTAGGTTTTGGGTAAAAGTTTGGCACAACATCGTGGGCCGAAGGGCCTGTACTGTGCTGTACTGTTCTATGTTCTATCCTGATATTCTGAAAAGGATGCATTTGTGCATACTGCCAGTTTTCTGCCAACCAACCTCCTGTCCCTTTTAATATGTCACCTTCACACCAGGAGCTCCTACTTTGCACAATGACCTTTGTGGGGCCTTGTCAAATGCCATCTGGAAATCGAGTTTTCTGTAGTCTACTCTTTATCCACTGTGCATGTTACTCTTTCAAAGAAATCCAATGAATTAGTTAAACATGATTTCCCTTTCACAAAGCTGTGCTGACTCTTCCCAAATACCTTGAGCTTTAAGTCCCCAGTTGTAACCTCCTCCATGATCAATTCTTGCACTTTTCCATTTATATGCTGTTCATCTGGAAGCAAAGTTTCAATTAGTCATATGTACACTGATGACACCCAGTTGTACCTCACCATCATCTCTTTTGTTTGACCCCTGCACTGATGCTAAATTATCTGACTACTAATATGGCATCCACCACTGGATGGGTAGAACCGTTCTCTAGTTAATTATTAGGATGACTCCAGCAGTTGTCTTTAGTCCCTGCTCCCAAACTTCATTCCCTAGCTGCCAAGTACCAAGTCTGTCCCTCTAGCTGGCCATAGTCTGAGTATAAAGCAGTCTGTCTGCAACCTGGGCTTCATTTTGACCATGCAGTGAGCTGCCAAACCTGTATTTGTGCCAACGCCAATTCAGCCTATTTTCACCTCTGACAGGTTGAGCAATTTAACTCCACTTCAGTTCACCTTCTGAAACCCTCATTCATTCCTTTGTTACCTAAAGCTTTACTGTTCTAATGGCTTGTTACACTCCTGGCTTGTTACACCTATTCTATCTCTGTAACTTCCAAAGCTTCACCATCCTTTGAGTGAAGAAATTCATGCTCATCTTCGTTTTTCATTCTTGAGGTTATCACCCTGGTTTTAGACTCACTAGCCAGTGGGAATGTGCGATTTATTTATCTATTTCAAGGAAATTCAGCTGGATATTGCCTGGGATGGAGCAATCCAGCCATGAAGAAAGGCTGGATAGGCTCAGGTTGTTTTCCTTAGAGTAGCGAAAGCTGAGAGGGGACCTAATTGATGTGTATAAGATTTATGACAGGCATGGACAGGGTGCATAAGAAGCAGCTGTTCCCCTTTAGTTGAATCATCAGTAAGGAGGGGCAGGAGTAGTAGAGGAAATTTGAGGAAAACTCATTTCACACCGAGGGTGGTGGGAGTCTAGAGGCACTATCTGGGAGGGTAGTAGAAATGGGAAATCTCATAATCTTTACTGCCATTCCAGAGATTAATCTGGTGAACCACTGTTGTTCTCGCTCTACGTATAGTGTACCTTACCTTTAGCTAGGAGATCAAAACTGGACATAATACTCCCAGGTGAGATCTCACCAAGGCTGTACACAACTGCAGTAAGACTTGTACTTAAATCCCCTTGAAGTGAATGCCAGCGTGCGACTTACGGTTTGAATTACTTTCTGCACCTGAATGCTAACTTTTAATGACTCATGCTCAAGGTTACCTAGATTCTTTTTGAAACTCATATTTCCCAAACCTTCCCCATTAAAGAAATATTCTGCCTTTGTTTTTTTTCAGCCAAAGTGACTTCATACATTATATTCCCTTTAAAAGTGAAATTATCCTATTTTACCAGACCAAAGGGCTGTTCTGTCATTAGCGAGAGACAATTGGTGGTGGTTTAACCTGAGGTTCACTGTGCCTCAAGCAAAGGGAGGGGTTAAGAAGGCGTGTCTTTCATGATAACCTCAGCCAGTGCACGAACTGAACCCATGCTGGTGTTACTGTGCACTGCAAATCAGCCATTTAGCCAACTGAGTCAACCGACTCTGTACCCCATCTACCATGAGTTAGTCCATTCGCTTAGCCTGTCCCAGTCATCTTAAAGCTTCCACACATGTTCCTAACCAACTTGTGTTTCCCCCCACTCAGTTTCTTATTCCTTGTCTCTGCCTTTTTGTCCACTAATGAATTCCCAATCCATACGACTATATTACAGGTAGTTCTCCTATAACACAATAGTTGCGTTCTTGTGTGACCTCATACTATAGAAATCGCATTATAGGAAAACCCCTACACCTGTACAGCTGAAAGTTCGTGTTATCCAAACACCGTCCACTATTCATCAATCGTGTAATAGCCAATTCGCGTTAACAAAACACGCATTATAGCAGAACAACCTGTACTTCCAATCCCATACCCCCTAATTGTGTGAAACCTTATCGAAAGCCTTGTCAAAGTCCAAGTGCATCACATCCATAGATTCTCCTTTGTCTATTCTGCAAGTAACATCCTCAAATGAAGGAGATAACAAGGTGTAAAGCTGGATGAACACAGCAGGCCAAGCAGCATCAGAGGACCAGGAAGGCTGACATTTCGGGCCTAGACCCTTCTTCAGAAAATTTTCTTGTTATCTCAGATTCTCCAGCATCTGCAGTTCCTACTATCTCATCCTCAAATGAACTTTGATTGTCAAAATGCTTTCTGTTTCATAGATGCATGTTGACTACCCAAGTTTGTTCTTCTTTTCTAAATGTTCAAACCTAATACCTCCTTTGTGGCTCGATGTCATACTCTGTATTGTAATGTTCCTTTAAAATGTCTTGGGACATTTTATTATGTTAAGGATACAATATAACCTGTTGCAGTTAATGCTGTAACAAGGTCAATTGATGCAACATTTTAGCTGCTAGATCTTAGAACTGCGACAAAAATCATCCACATAAACCAATTAAGCAGGTTGGATTTAAATTGTATCGTATACTTGCAGCTGCTACTGTAAGTGGTATAAGCTTTTGATCAGCAGTTTGTCACCAGTATTGCTATGCTGCATCAAGGTAGTAACCCAGTGTTGGGATCACTGGCCGACACTGCCCTTGAGCAATCCAGAAATTATTAGAACATGTAACAAACATTTTCCTTCCAAGTTTACATATGTGAGCTGAATGGATGAAAATAAGTTTGATTGATTTGTGGCCAGTGGAATATGCATCCACACCTTTTTTAATAAGTAGCTATTTTCACCAACTTTGTTCAAAGTTTCCAAATTGTGATTGTTTTTGGATTTGTATTTGAATATTTTTCTTCATAGTAGTAAAATTTCTTTTCTAAGAATGCTGCTTCTATTTTATATAAACAGGATGCTCAGATTGCCAATGGTAGAAATTTATATGAGTAAAAATAACGAGTTAGCTGCACAATCCTAAATTGTCCTTTTGCGAGTCATGGTGTTTACACCCCCTATAAAATATATTGTACACATTTAAGAGCCTCATATATGTTATCCCCAAATTAGCGAGTAGCAGCTTTCAGAGTCCCAAACCATTTTAACATATCTGTTAATCCTTTACCTTACCACCCCTCATTGGCATTAAGCAAATTGTGTAGCTGCTTACATTAGCTGTGTTACTTGAGAATCCTGTAACCACAGATGGTTTTCATTGAAAATCAATTTTGAGTACAAAAGGTTTACTGAGCCTGACAAGTCAGGTTTATGACTGGTGGGAAGTCTTGGCATGTGAAACTTGAAGGAAGTTCAATCCCCTTGCACCAAGGGGAGACCAGATCAAAGTGGTGGGGTTAATTGACTAAATGGCACTGTCTAATTAAGCCAGGGCTGAGGGTATCAAAGAAATTTGCTAGAACTTTGCCGATTGCTGCATCAATTCCATCCAGGAGTGCAACATGGACTGTATATGTTCCTTTCTTTCTGCGTTTTTGAAAAATTAGTGAAAATAGTTATGACATAACCCATTGTCTGGTTGCTTCAACTCCAAATATTCAGTTTTGCTAAAAAATTGTTGATTGAAAATGTTTGCAAATGCTTATGAATTGCATGTCCTGCAGTGCAAATGTCATGGCTCTGTTGGCAGTTTTTGCTTGTGTTTCAAGGCCTGTGGGTTGCTTTCTACTGAACAGCCTCTCTACAAAATTTGAAAATATATTTGTTGAAGAGCTAGAGCTTGTTTATAGCCATATTTTCTCTCTTTCCATGCCATATTTTGTTTATTCACATGGGACTGTTGTGTAAGAGCATTTTTCTTTCAAGAATCCTTGAAATGCTGCCTCTTGGTTGCGGCCACAACTGTTTTCTCACTGAAAGTTGGATTGGAAGACTTCATTTTCCATTTAAACCCAGGCAAATAGAATATTCGAAATCTATTGACATTATGCTCTTTTAAAAAGCATGTATTGCTAATGATCTTGTAAGCTTTGATGGCAGAACACTTCCCTCTACTGGTGATTTTCAAGTAATACTTTGGATTATAACCTAAATGTTAACTCTATATCTTCTCCACTTTTCCCACAGGCATCAGATGTAGGCTCAGAGAAACTCTTCTCACCTGCAGCAAGTAAAGGTATGTTTATTTTCTCATTCAGGGCAGGATTTGCATTCTTGAAAACACTCCAAGTCAAGTATTTTTATCATTCAGTGAGCTGGAGTCACAGGTAGCATCTTCCAAATTGGTTTGCTTCACATCTGCATTTGGATATAAATCAGTGCATTTAATGGAAGCTATACTAAAAATTAATGGTGGGAATTAGCAAATTGCCTGAAGTGTACTTTGAAATCTGTTCTATAGAACTTTACTGCCGGCCCACCAAATATTTGTCAAATTCTGTACAACTCTGAGATTTATAAGGGCATTTAATTCTTAAGGTTGGAATTTCACTTGCAGGTTTTAATTCATCATATAAATCTGGCTCAACATGATATTCAGTATTGTTCACACATATTGGTCAATGTCAGCATTATGATGTGGTATTGAAAATCAGTTCAGAAGGGTTCTACTATTTTCAAAACTTCCTCTTCTTTCTGTCTTCTCCCTCAGACTTCCTCAGAATTACTTTTGAATATTGGAATGCCTACAATGATCTCTGATTAATGTGCCATTTCTGTTGTGAGATGTGTTTATTCAGTTAAGGATGTGCAAGCACAAAACTGAGCCTCAATAGTCAAAGCTCCGCACCAGCAGTATAGTCTTAATGACTACCATTATGAATTTTCACCTTGGTATATTTTCTTTCTTCTTAAAGTTGCTCACCAAATTTAGTCAAAATAGAGATGCAGTACTTGAATATGTTAAAATTTCAGAACTTGAAATGCTCAGATCTTCAGTAACTTCGAAAAATTAGCTGGTTAAGGTAGAGGTTTAACTTTTGCAGTTTTTAAGAGGTACTGTGCTGCTTGATTTTGAAAAAAAGTACTAGCAATGTGCGTGTACTCCTTGTATTAGCTCAATTTGACTTTTTTAAAGATGGCAAAGAAAGGTTTTGATTAAAATGGATTAGACACCTACAATTATGAGTCTTGGATTGTTTTTGGCATTAAGGGTTCAATTGGTATCCGTGCATAAGATTCTAAGCAAAGGAAGTTTCTCCCTAAGTAGAACCTGAAAGAACTGCGGATGCTGTAAATCAGCAACAAAAACAAAGTTGCTGGAAAAGCTCAGCAGGTCTGGCAGCATCTGCCAGAACGTTCTGAGGAAGGGTCACCAGACCTGAAACGTTAACTGTTTTCTCCTTCACAGATGCTGCAGGCCTGCTGAGCTTTTCCAGCAACTTTGTTTTTGTTTCGAACTTTCTCCCTAAATTGTTTGCCTCACTCATTTATTTTTCTGTCTCTGTCTCTCGCGCTCTCTCTGTCTCTGTCTCTCGCGCTCTCTCTGTCTCTGTCTCTCGCGCTCTCTCTGTCTCTGTCTCTCGCGCTCACTCTGTCTCTGTCTCTCGCGCTCACATGCTTGTGCCCTCTCCCTGTCGCCTGTGCACACTCCCACCCGAAGATGGTTACTAAAACCTTCCACTGTGACCAAAGTTTGGGTGAACTGACTTGACACCATCTGGTGCAGCTTCCTGTTGAGTTTTGTGATGCGCATTATGATATTTTTACTATATGACTGCAAATTGATATTTATTTGGTGTTTATAGTTTCTAGTATTTCAAGAACCTTTTACAAGGTTCACGTACATTGAGTTTTTTTTATTATAATACCTTTTAAGGACAACATGAACATTTTGTGCTGTAAACTATTGCTGATGAAACTTTAATGAGGTGAGCTGCTGTTTTGAGCTTTATGCCTTTTGTATAAAATTGCTTGCTGCAAACTTTATTTTCAAAGCCAGAAGTACAAAACTCCAGCAGTATCCCCACTACCTCCTTTGTATTTTTTTAATGAACCTGCTCAGAGATGCTATTACATATTTTCTGGAGCAGGTAACATTTGAGCCCAAGCCTTCTGGCCCAGAAATAGGGACATGACCTCTACACCTTAAGAACCCCATCAATGATTTTTTCTTCTTTAAGTCCAGAAATGCTCTTACACACAGCTGGACATTATTTTTCCCATCACCAATCACCTGTGTTTCCTTTTTCATCGGACAACCACCACCAGTGAATCACCAGTGTTTTCCCAATTGCTTAATTTATACGGAAAGCCTATTAAGGGCAATTCAGACCATAAGAGGTGAGTGAGAGGTAGGGGGAGGGGGCTAAATCAAAATGGAGTTGGAAAGGGAGATAGAAGCACTCCACCCAGTGTGCTGCCCACCTCACTCTAAAGGCATCAAGGGTGACAATAGACATTGCATTCTCCCTCTCGAAGGACATCTGGGCATGACTGTAGCTGCAGAAGAGGGGCAGAAGAGTCCCTGCTAATATAGCAAACCACAACAGTTACAGCTATGGATAGTCATCGTAAAACATGTACTGAAGCTTTAGCAGATCAGTTATGTTGTAAAGAATAAATTCCCCACCATAACATGAGAGATATTAATAGGAAATTATTTTATGGAAAACTCATGTATTTGATATGGGATAATTTCTGAAGTGATGAGCGAGGCAGTTTAGTGTACAGGTGGGATCAATTAAGGTGTAAGATCTTTGGGAAAAATCTATTTCACAACACTTCCGTTGGTGACATTGTTCTGGCATTTTATGTTCAACTCTCAACCACTTCTGAGCATGCAAATTAGGAGCAAAATTAAGCTGATTCACACTTCAAGCATGGTCTGCCATTTGATAAAATCGTGATCATGGCCTCGACTCCAATTCCTACTGCCAAACCATTTTACTCTGTTAGTCTGTCTACCTCAACAACCCTGCTTGCACAGTCTTGGGAAGAAAATTGCAGATTCTCAACTCTTCGAAGATAAATTTCTCCTAACCTTATTTTTAATGCCTCATATTCTAGCCACTCCAGGAGACCATTTACCCTGTCAAGCCCCCTCAGGATATTTTATATTTCCATAAGGTCACCTGTCAATCTCCTAAGCTCCAATGGATATAGGTCAAAACTATCCAACCTCCTTAAGATAACCCCTTCATCCCAGGAATCAGCAGTGTGATCCTTCTCTGATCTGCTCCAAATGTTTTTTTGTTCTTTTGTTAAATAAAGAGATCAAAGCTCTACTCACCACTCCATATGTCTCACCAATGGCCTTATACGACTGTCATAAAACTTTTTATATCCCTTCCCTTTGTAGTAAACAACACCATTCCATTTGCCTTTTTAAATACTTATTGTACTTGCGTACTACCTCTTTTTACTTATTGATCCCAAGGCAAACAATGTTACTTTTACAAGAAGATACAAACAAGGAACAAGAGTAGGCCACTCGACCCTTCGAACCTGCTCTACCATTCAACAAGATCCTGGTTAATCTGGTTTTAACCTCAACTTTACATTCCTGTATATCCCCAATAATCTTTCATCCCCTTAGTAATCAAGTATCTATCTACCTCTGCCTTAAAAATATTTAAAGATTCTGCATTCTCTGCCTTTTGAGGAAGAGAATTCCAAAGACTGTCAACCTTCTAAGAGAAAAGATATTTCCCTGTATCTTTCTTAAATGGGCACCGCCTTATTTTTAAATTCTGACCCTTAGTTTTAGATTCTCCCAGAAGAGGAAACATCCTTTCAGCATCCAACCAATCAAGCTCCTTCAGGGTCTTGTATGTTTCAATCAAATCACCTCTGACTCTTATTCTAAACTCCAAAGAATACAGGCATAGTCTGCCTAGCCTTTCCTCGTAAAGCAATCCGCTCATTCCCAGGTATTGGTCTAGTAAACCTTCCCTGAACTGCTTCCAAAGCATTAACATCCTTCCATAGTATGGTTTCCAATACTGTATGCAGTATTCCAGATGCAGTCTCATCAATGACCTGTGTAACTGAAGCATAACCTTTTTATTCTTGTATTCATTTACCCTTAAAATTTTATGTTTATTGTATTAACTGCCCTGATTACTTATTGAACCTGCATATTAACCTTCTGTGATTCAAGGACCAGGACTCCTAGATCTCTCTGCAACCTCTCACCATTTAGATAATATGCTGCTTTTTCATTCTTTCTATCAAAATGGACTATTTCACACTTTCTCACATTATGCTTAATTTATCAGATTTTTGCCCATTCACTTAAACTATTCGTATCCCTTTGTAGGCTTCTCATGTCGTCTTCACAGCTCACTTGCTTACCTATCTTTTAAGTCATCGGCAAATTTAGCTACCATACGCTTAGTCCCTTCATCCATATCATTTATATAAATTGCAAAGAGCTGATGCCCCAGCACGGACCCCTATGGCATTTTACTTGATATCCTTGCAGCCTTAAAAAGACCCATTCATTCCTACATTCTGCCTCCTATTAGCCAGCCAGTCTTCTAGATATGGTGATATGCTACATCCTACACTGAGGTTTTATTTAAATAAACTTTGTGGCACCTTATCAAATGTTTTCTGGAAATCTAAGTACAATACATCCACTGGTTCCCCTTTATCAACATCACAAGTTACTTCTTCAAAGAACTCCAGTAACTTAGTTAAACATGATTTCTGTTTGCCAAAGCTATATCAGTTCTGATTGATTCCTGTATAACTTGTTCAAGGTAAACTATTCAAGTTAGAGAAGATGAGTCTAGTAAGTATATTAGAGGTTTTGCTGTATGTTAAGATGAAGGAAGGTTTGATGAGGCTCATTTGGAGCATAAACACTTAGATGGATATGTCAGCTGAAGAGCATTTCTGTGCTGCAAAGCTCCTGTGTTAACCAAGGCAGACCCAAAAGGAACTGAGTGTGGCAAAGAATGACATGGTTGCTGCTGTTTCTCTTTTGACTTTGTTTACTTTCTTTGGTAGCAAATTTGGCTTTGCTATGTTTCACATGGCACATCCATTGAATATTACAGCTCAAGTCAATACTTTGTAGAGAAGAATTCATGGTGCAGTGCATTGAATGCATTTGTTAAGCTGTTAAGTGCTGCCTCATGCCACTTTAGTTCTCTGCCAAGCAGCCTGTTAGTAACACATTCTGAAAATATGTAACTCGGAGTGGAAGTAATGTGAAATATTTACATTTAT